TTATTTTTTAATGAAATAAACGAATTATATCGACAATATTAATATTTGTACTCTTTAAAAATTTGGTACATCTTTAAAAATAATCTAAAATGTCAATAGTCCATGGGTATATTGATAAATAAGTTCTAAATTACAAGAAAATTCATTTTCTACAGAAACTTAGGAGATAGGTAAAAAATGGTATAATATAATTTGATAGACAATTAAATTGTGCATCTGATTCTCGTAAAATATAGAGGGTGTTCCATTTAAATTAAACAAGTTATTGCCGTTTGAAGCTAATAATTATTTAAAATAAATTTTTAGACACTCTGTATTCTATGCAACACAATAACTGATCAGTAAATAAACTTCAGTAAATATTTAGTATTAAAAACTTTGATACCCTTGGAGAAATGAAGCCTTAAAATTTTTACTGCAACTTCACAAAATTGAAAATATTTCAAAAACGGTAAGGTTTAAGTATAGTAAACCTTAATCAAATTTACCTTTATTTTAATCGTAGAAACTAAAAATGTAATAATATACAGGGTGTTCTATTTAAAAAAATACAACTTTGATATTTTTTACTTATTTGGGACACCCTGTATCTTGTAAAATTCTTTTTAAATTGTACCTCTAATAGTCCTTCATCGAACCCAAAACTTACAATTTGTAAAAATCTCATCGTTTAGCTACAATACTCCGTGTCGTATGTGGTGAACAACCCTGTATTAACAAAAAGAAAACTAGTTAAATATGAGATTTTGATATAATGTGTTTGATATGTGATAAAATAGGAAAAACGGGCAAACATCACAAATTAACATCTAGACAAACAGGTATCTTATGTTGTAAACTATGTTTATAAGTTTTTTTAATTAATTAATTGATACGATTAATTAATAAAATTGACTTGTTCGTTAAAAATCCATAGTCAGTATTTCTTCTGCCAATACGGCTGAATAATTTCTCATAAACCAGAATAATATTAATTATTTTTATTTACCGTAAATCTTTTTATACGTGAGACACAAAAAAATGTAGATCAAAAAATTATTGAGTTATTTAATAAAAAATTAAATATGTATTTATTAAAGTTTATAACCGTTTATGACCATGAATTTTTCACTGACTTAGATAAGTATTTTTATAGTAACTCTTCCCGCTTTTATTGTTTGTGAAAAAAATGTTGTGCTGTTTTCTTGTGTGCTTTTTTTTAAATAGGTAATTATAGTTTTTGTGTTATAGATAGCAATTCATTCATCATGTGAAATATGTTATAAATGCTATTAAATACATGTGATTCACATATACATATTTTAATTTTTAATACTGCGTTAAAATTACTTTTAGTAAATTTTTTGCATTTTAATTGAAAGTATATTTATTTTTAGTAAATATTTATTTAATATTAAATGCGATATATATACATATGTACATATGTATATCTTTTTATTCAACTGTAGTCATATTTATTATTGGTTTTTAGGCTTAAGTTAATTCAATTTTAACAATGTTCCATGCTTATTAGGATTTGTAACAATACTTTGTTATAGTTAGGCTAGTTAATATTTATTTGATCTCTAACTGTTAGAGATCAAATAAATATTATCTAGTCTAACATTCTTCATTAAAATCTATAACATTGGATAGAAAAGAATCTAAAAAAAAAGATTCGAAGAAGAGAAAAATCTAAAAAAGAATCTAGCGTGACAAGTAGTAAGTGATTACTTAGATATGCCATGCTAGATTTAGCATGGCAAAAGTACCTTTTTAAACTGGACTGATTTTAACAACACTTTAGTTGACAACGACATTTTTGTTTCCAAAATATTATACTTACCATTTATAAACAATCCACCTACCGAATGTGATACCATATATACTTCGATGGTAAGATTAGTAGATTTAGCTCAAACTTTAAAACAAAACCATATTTATATAAGTAAGTTATGTAAGTGGTATATAGAGCAAAATCAGAAAACACAAATGATAACACCTACATACATATATATTAAAAGAAGAAATTCGTAGTTTAATAAAAGAGTTTCAATTCTATGCAAACTTCAGGATATGTCTTTATTATGTAATAAAAATAATGTAATCATGTTTTCATAAAAACATATTACGAAAATATGTCATATTAAATCGACTTATATAATTACTTATAAAGAATTTTCTACATTTACTCTAAAACATAAATTAATGCCACATCTAGCACGCCGCGGTACAACGTGATGCAGCCGGGCGGTATAATAGCGCGGCGAGTAACTACAGCGCGCGCACGGGATACTGATAACTTTAAATCAGTATAACTATAAAACTATTAGTAATAGAAGGTTGTAACAAGTTTTAAAAACGTTTTCAATATTCTTTCTTTATTTCATACGCAGATACTATGTAAAAATTCCTTCAAATAAAAAAGTTTCTCGTTTACCGAAAATCGTGATACAATAAAGTTTAATCCATTTTCCAAAAAAAAATACACTCACTATGGAACTTTAATTACTTCAGCTATGACCGTCTATGTGTCCTCAATCGATTAAAAAAAAGAGTATGGGAATAAGTTGATTAGTTTAGGAGTTATCGCGTAGGAAAGGTAAAAAAACATGGTTATACATTTTTGACAGATTTTTGACATTTTCCGAGATAAAAAATTTCTGAACCCCCCAAAAAGGTGGTAATTAGTCATTTCACATGCACAAAGCCCTAACCGATCGTTTCATAACGATTTTATGTGCTTATACCTTTCTCAGTGATTTTACTCCACTAAATATCATGTTTGATTTTGTTGTTTTATTTGAAACCATGACCCATAATAAAATTCAAGACCAAATTTTTATATTTTTTTATGGGATACTTGATGATACATACTTGATGATACAAGTAAACTATTATTATTATTATAATTATTATATAATAATTATAATAACTTATTTATAATATTATTATACAGGGTGGCGCACCTCATTCGCCTCGGTTGATTATACGAAAACGGAAAGATGTAGAAACAAAATATTTTATGGGTATATGTGGGAAGGCAATGTGCATAATTGAAAATTATTTTGAAATGTATAGGGTGTGTCAGAATTAAGATCCATACCAAAGTTATATTTTTTCTTATGGAACACCCGGTATTTTATTTTATTTTTATATTTTTGACCATAAAATAAGGTGTTTATTATAAGGGTTTAATATGTTTAAAACCTTTGGTTTTTGAGATATTTAAAGATCTTTAAATATGCATGCCATAATATGGAAGTTTGTCAACACCTTGTACATTACTTTTCAGAATTAATTCTTTTACGGACTTTAAAGCCAGATAAATAACCTTTACTAAAAGTTTTGATTGCTTCCTTAAATGTACACAGGGGTGTCAAAAATTGCTGGTCTATTGTAAAGATTTATTTTACATAAAAACTTCGTTATTTCAAATGCAACACTGTATTTTTTTAAACAAGTCGAAGCAGATTCAAATGCTCTTTCAAACTGTATTAGGGTTTCCTATACCTATCTGGCTCAGATTTTGAATAAAAAGCGATTTTTCAATAAAATTGTAATCAAGATGGCTGGTGTCGCCCTGGCAATTTTCTAGTGACAGTAGCCATTTTTGAAAATCGACATTAATTTATAGACTTTATTTACATTTATAACAGGCTATTTTATTTAATTTACCTACAATAAGGTTAAAAAAGAAAGTAGTATTTTATCAAGAAAAATGAAGCAATATCTGCTGAGGGAAGGAATGGATATGTGACTAGTGATTTTATTTTGTGAGGACAATTGCTTGTTCGCCTGGAAGGTTTATGCTCAAAGATATCAAAATAGGAATTTTCTTGACAAGCGTTCCTTTGAAAAACTACTTTTCCTATTTCGTAGAGCTGATAGTGTGGTATATGAAAAACCTATTAGGCAGAAACCTGTCGATGGAAGGGAAGAAAATGAATTTGCCTTAATTGGTTCTTTTATAGAAAATCCGTATATTTACATACGTCACAAGTCAACGTAATATAAATCAAAGAACTACTTCTTCATTTTTCTTGATAAAATAATAAATGCTTATTTATCAAACTATTGTAGAAATTAAATAAAAGTAAACTGTTATAAATTTAGATAAACTCCATAAACTAATGTCGATTTTGAAAATAGCTACTAACTGTCACTAGCAAATTGCGATGGCGACACCAGCTATCTTGATTACAATTTTAGTAATAAATGGCTTTTTATTCAAAATCTGAGCCAGATAGATATAGGAAACCCTAATATAGTTTGAAAGAGCATTTAAATCTGCTTTGACTTATTTTAAAAAATACATAGTGTTGTATTTGAAATAACGAAGTACGAAGTTATGTAAAATAAATATTTAAAATAGACCAGCAATTTTTGATACCCCTGTATACATTTAAGGGAGCAATACAATTTTTTAGTAAAGTTTATTTCTCTGGCTTCAAAGTCAGCACAATAATTAACTCTGAAAAGTAATGTACAGGGTGTTGACAAACCTTTTTATTATAGCATGCATATTAAACCCTTATAATAAATGCCTTATTTTATGCCCAAGAATCCAAAAATGAAATAAAATACCGGGTGTTCCATAAGAAAAAATATAACTTTGGTATGGATCTTAGTTCTGACACACCCTGTATATATGAAAATAATTTTAAATTATGCACATTGACTCTCTACATATACCCATAAAAAATTTTATTTCTACATCTTTCCTTTTTCGTATAATCAACCGAGGCGAATGAGGTGCGCCACCCTGTATAATTATATATAACTTTTATTATATTATATATCTCCATATGATCGAAAAAAACTGCGTGAGGATTGATCTGGAAATGACCACGATTTTTTTATAAGTAAAAAAAAGATACAGGGCCGAAAATTCGAAAATTTGGAATTGAACTGTTCAAAATGATAGAAATTATCAAAAAGGCTCTGCGAAACATTAGCATTGGATCAGAAATGTCCAGACATATATTTAGTAATTTTAATTTCGTTTTATTGTTTTCCAGAAATGCTGATAGTAAATCTCTAACTGACGAAGTGATATTAGATTCTTTAAAAATAGAAATTGAAGATCATATCCCGCTTTTCGATGACTCTAAGTATGTTTTTCTTTAAATGTATATTTACTAACATAATGATAATAATATAATTTATAACTTCTAGAAATGCTGAATGTCCGGCTGTGATTAATGAAGTAAAATTAGAAGATTTAAAAATAGAGCCTGATGAAGTCGCTTCGATTCTTAATGAAGACATGCACGATGACTTTAAGTATGCTTTTTAAATGATAGAATCTTTACTAAAACATTGTTTTTAAATATTTTTTATTATTTCCAGAAATACCGAAAATTTATCTGCAACTAAGAAAGTGAAGTTAGAAAATTTTATAGAAATGGAACCTGACGATGAAAAAAATTGAAAACAACACTTTTGTTTAGTTGTCATATGTAAACTTTTACGTTTTTAAGCTGTATATAATATTTGTAGCTGTAATATTTCCAAAAAATATGCCCTGTAATGTAGAGGTTCAGCTCTTGTCTACCAATTTAAAAGTTATGGTTTTAAGGTTTGGATCTTTTTTGTTAACCATTTTCCCCTATCTGCTAAAATAAAGTGGTGGGATCGCCAAAGATCTGTTTTTATCCGGACTGGATGATTGGAATCCAACAAACGGGGGCTCGTTAAAAGAGCGTTTCTTACTCTATATTATACCGTATAAATAATAATAATAAGCTTAGGTATAGTGAACGCTTTTACCTCTGCTTTTACGCTATACCTTCCATATCAGCTCCCTTCCGTTTACATAAAATATATTATGTAAATGAATAGGACAATGCACACTATCCGTTCTGTTTCCCTTCCGTTCCACATCCTTTTCTTCCATACAAATATATAATATAGCGTCAATACAATAAAAAATATGGAATGGAAGCGGAAGATATAGTGAGAATCAACCTCAAGAAATAATTTTGAAAAGATAATATCCAGATTTTTCTTTTTCTATGAATTTATCAGACAAAGGTCAAATTTTTTATTCAATTATTATTTTTACAAATTCACTTCTCATAGACTATACCTAGTAAAAAGAAAAAAAATCAAGAATGAAGGCAAAATCATTTAGGAAACGATCATATTTTGTTATTAATGCGGATTGGCGTTTTGTTTATTATTTACATTCGCTGTAGATATCTTCGTTTTTTTTCTGCGAAATTGACCTGTGCTTCGAAGGTCTGCCTGCTTGGACTCTTTTTGTCCCTAACGCAAGTCCAGGTCGAATTTTTCTTCTAGAAATTGAAGTAGACGCGGGAATCGAACGAAAGAAATGTGAAAAATTAGCAGGTGTTTCTATACATTTCAATTCTCTTGTTAATTTTATAACAGTATTTGTCATATCAACTGAATTACAATTAGCAACAAATTAGTTATTCGCTGGAATTGCTGTGACATTGCAGCTACTGCATTCGAATGTTACTCATCATTTGGGATATTATCTGAATTATGGGTGTGTCTCAAAAGTGGCTCACCCTTATAACTTTTTTATTTTTTTAGATAAAGAAACGAGATTTGGAGGTTAGTATATGACATAAATTGGGATTGATTGACATATTCAATTGTTTTTAGTCACTTCCTGGTTTACCGGAAATTATTACAACTCTTAATGTTTAAAGGCACCCTCGGTATTTTTTTTATTTTATTCGATAGAAAATGACACAATCAAATGACATATCATATGTCAACTTTTGACATTTTCTCATATGGTTTATTTGAAATTGTAACATGCGGTTCATAACGATAATTTGACTCGAAATACTAAGTGTGTGGTACCAAATTATTCGTAAAAAAATGCTTTTTTTTAAATATGCTAATGAGCCACCCTCGTTCCATTTGAAAAAAGTGAGATATGATTAAAAATACGATTTGGGCATCTTTTAACCGGCCAAGACAAGACACGAAAAACATTAGACGATCAAATGTATTTTTCCAAGGCTCCTTGAATAAAAATTACTGTTTTTAACACAACCATGACGCTCTAGATTGAAATTTAAAATGCCATTTTTTTAAAGCGAAAATGTCAAAAGTTGACATTGATATGTCATTCTATTCAGAGTATCATTTTCTATCGAATAAAGTAAAAAAATACCGAAGATGCCATTTAAAAATCAAGTTGTAGTGATTTCCGGTGAAACAGGAAGTGATCAAAAACAATTGAATACGTCAATCAATCCTAATTTATGTCATATATTAATATACCAAATCTCGAGTATTTATCTGAAAAAATAAAAAAGTTATAGGGGCAATCCACTTTTGAGACGCACCCGGTATAAATCAGATACTACTAAAACAATCTGAATTTACGTCATATACTAACATACCAAATCTTGTTTTTTTTATCTGAAAAAATAAAAAAGTTATAGGGGTGAGCCACTTTTGAGACGCACCCGGTATACAGGGTGCTACAAATTAGAGGTACGAGCATTGGTATCTCGGTAACCGTAATAGATACGAACATGGTTAAATTGGGGCAGAGTTGCGCTTTAGGATGTTCACCAAGATGCCATCAAAAAAGTTTTAAAAATTTCAAGGATTGCTGAGTTTTTTTGAAAAGACGGATTTTTTTGAAAATCAATTTTATTTTTTTCTGTCGTTACTTTTTAGAAAATCAAAAAACTAATTGCGCTTTCTCATAGCCACTTTGTTAGAGTTATCTGATGGTATTTTTACAACTTAATTTTTTTAAATACGGACCTGCATTTTTTATTTCAGGTTTTGAAAGAACTCGGTCTCCTGAGGGTGCAGCCACACTATCCTAAAAACGGCGTATCGGCGTAACGACGTAACGACCTTGAATCGATTTCCAGTAATTCTATTGGCTGACATTTTTGACAGATGAATTTGACAGATAAAATTTCTGACAAATGAATTTGACAGATAAAATTTCTGACAGATGAATGTTTCAGCCAATAGAATTACTGGAAATCGATTCAAGGTCATTACGCCGATACGCCGTTTTTAGGATAGTGTGGCTGCATCTTGAGTACAACGACATGCCACACTTGATACTTTTTTTTTGTTTTGGGTACCTTAACAATAACAAAACTATTTAATTGTTATTTAAAATAATTTCAAATCCGGCTCTGGTTTTTTTACTTTATTTAATCCGATTATATTCATCACAACAATATTGATCAGCGCTAATTAACATTGAATAAGGAAAATCAACAAAAATTGTTGGACATTTGAAATCAATACATTTCAATATTAAGAGTACAAACAATACACAAACAATTAAGGAGTAATAAAAAACAATTAAAAGAGTACAAAATGCATTCGGAAGTATAAGAAGAAGATCTGTTCAAAGAGCTATAAATAAGATTCAACGAAAAACAAATGTGGGCATTATAGATGGTGGTAACCCTTTCGAACATGCAGAGCATTAGAAACTAGTTTGTAGAAGTTGATTTATTTATAATAATTACGATTAATATTGTGCATATTATTAGATCGTACACTGAGATTTCAAATTCACAATAAAAAAGTTAAAAATAATAGATATCTTTAAATTGGTGACCTGGATATTAATTATTTGAATCTTTCAATTGGCGTGATTTTCCGTATTCAATGTTAATTAGAGCTGATCAATATTGTTGTGCTGAATATAATCAGATTAAATAAATTAAAAAACCAGAGTCGGACTTGAAATTATCTGTTAAGGTACCCAAAACAAAAAAAAGTATCAAGTGTGCCATATCATTGTACTCAGGAGACCGAGTTTTTTTAAAACCTGAAATAAAAATTGCAGGTCCGTATTTAAAAAAATTAAGTTGGCCTCTGTATCTCACAAATTATCAGCTAATTTGAAAATCTAAAAACATCATCAGATAGCTCTAATAAAATTAATTTTCTGAAAAGTAACGACAGGAAAAATTAAAATTGATTTTCAAAAAAATCCGTTTTTCCAAAAAACTCGGCAATCCTTGAAATTTTTAAAACTTTTTTGATGACATCTTGGTGAACATCCTAGAGCGCAATAACTTTGTCCCAATTTAACCATCTTCTTATCTATTTCGGTTTCCGAGATACCAATGCTCGTACCTCGATAAGCGGTAAGTACCTGTACCGCGGTAAGGAATGAAGTATTAAAATACGCGCTTTAAAATTGTATTCCCTACTGTGATGCAACAGAAGGCTCCGCTGTACCTTAGTAAACAAGTAAACTGTACCGTGTACTGAAGCTGTGCCGTGTACTGAACAAAGAAAGAAGAAGTACGCAGGCAAATATTTTTCCAAGCGTATAAAATATAGCGCCGGATTACATGGGTCGTCTGTTGAGGTAAATGAGTTTGGCAGATGATCACTAACCATATGCGGATGCTATGGAGTGTTGCGTCAAACACATTTCTCTATTACAGCTGAGGTTTGGAACCTTTGTTGCTACAACATCAAAATATAACACTAATTCACCACAATATACCAAAACACTTTACTTTTGCTCTGGACGCGCGTTTCGCTAAGCATGTTAGTGCTTAGCCCCATATGAGGCGACAAGCAGAGCGGAGAGGACCGCGAAGCGTTTAAATGCATTGAAGTAAATGGAAGCTAGTGGTCCCACATACGGGCGAAGCGTATTTCAGATTGACGCGTATTTTACAACAACAAATATGTAACGCTTTATTGTGCAAAAAGCCAAAATAGCTTCATCGATAAAGCATTTACACAACAAACAAAAGCACAAAAAATATACAAATAATAAAAAATATACAATACAAATTCAAAAAAATGCAAGTCATTAAAATTACAAATAGAACATACATGGACAATTGCAGAACACAAAAAAATGCGTGTCAATAAAATTTTACAATAGGACTTTTACATATTGTACTCTATGCCTTCAGCTATGTTGGGCCAACCTACAACCTAACCTAACGGCCTTAGCATCATCAGCAGATGATTAAAACTACTTTAGTGCAAAAGTAAAGTGTTTTGGTGTATTGTTGGGAATTGGTGGCTTATTTTACTGTTGTAAAACCGAAGGTTCCGACCTCCAACTCTAACCAATATTATATGTTACCTGTGATAAGGACCAAGCTGATGAATTGCATATATGTCGTCCTCAATTCTCAGTAGTATCCTTGAATATGTATTAAGCAAAGGAATTTAGTATGATTCAAATATTTGGATGTGGCGGAAAAACATCCAGCAAGAAGATGTTAATCCGTTTCTGATTGTAAAACGATATCATATCAAAGAAGAGTCGTCCCTATACTCTCTTGTATTAATCAATTTACTTCATAATCGTTTTCTATTTAAAATAGAAAATTGATTTTTTTGTTCTATTTAAAATACAAAATAGAAAATACTTTTTCAAATGTATTTAAAATAGAAAATGCCATTTTGTAATAGTTTATAAATACATAATTTCATTTGAAATTTACCAACCTCTGATTATTTCATTACACTCATTGTTTAAAAATTTTGTGAAATTGGTAAATTTTGGTAATCAAAATAATGCAGTAACCTAAATTGCAATATAAGTGGAAGGATATATAGAACATATTACCTACTATTTATTATTTAAAAATTTTAAAATATGATTATATTACATAACTTAATAGATCATGATTATCACATGTTTATAAATCTGTAGTGTGAATATGAGAATAAAATTTAAAATTTATATTATTGCTTGAAATAAATAAGTTTTATGATCATGTGCGCTTCATGCAGCAACAGATAAAACAATTATTTTATTTTTTTATCACTTTTCTAACCATGAAAGTCAATAACAAATTTTAATGATACAGTATAATTTTTTCTACAGTACGTTCAAAACGTTTTATGATCTAGCGGGCTTTAAGTCTGAAGTTACAAAAATGGTAATGTATAATTTTTAAAATAACAATAAGAATTCTACATCTTTCATCATAAAAAGTACGCTTGATCATAAAACACTTTGATCATTTCACCAGTTTCCTATTGGACAATTATATTGTTCTAGCAGCTTCAAAGAAAAAATGTATTATTGTTAACATTTATTAATTTATTCCTCTGTTAATTGAGCATACATGATTCATATGTAGGAATCAAATATTTAATGTTAATAAACGCATCTTCGCCTCCATATTTTTCCAATACTTCTAAAGTATCGTTTATTATATCTGCTAAATTGTCACCACGCATTTGACTATAGTCGATTTCGTCACCGCAGTTTACTGAAATATATAAATAATATCTAATGTTAATAATGTAATAATAATTAATACAAATTATTTCCAAAAAAAATTACTTTAAAAATATAAAAAAAAGAACTACAACAATATTGTTCAAGATAGGTCAATCTGATAGAGAGTTTCTTTCAAATATGACAAGAACAGATTGGGTACATAATCAGCTGGTGGTAGAAATGCTTCCATAGGGGCACTATTTATCTCTTGTGATCCTTAGTATTTCCAAAGTCAGTTTGATTCGTTTAGGACTCTGCAGGAATTTAAGCACTGCCTTTTCGTCATTGTCGGCATAAGTGGTGGGAGAAACCATTATTTTTGTTAAATAACAGTTGAAACTGTTACTGCTGTTTATATAACAGCTTAAAATAACAAAATGTTAAACATCTGAAAGAGCATAGTCCAAATTGTCGTAAAATCATAAAAATGATAAAAAAATAATATAAAATCTGAAATTCATAAGCACTGTTTATAAATTTTTGAATACGTAGGTATGTTTATTATATTAATAATAAAGAAAATAGTAGGTAGTGTTTTAAACAATTATCAATATTAATTAAAAATATTTTTAACGATGTAATAGCTTAGACAGTCTTCATTTATTTCAGTAGTTCAAAAATACCTAATATTTTTCTTTGGTGGATTTCTAAGTAACAATTTCTTGAATATTAATCATTATTGCTGGTATTTGATATGTAAGTACCTACCTAAATTTGTTTTTTGAACTGTTTTCAAACATAGCAAAAACAATAAAAGTACATATATAAAAATACTAATAAAAATAACCAAGTGTTAATGCAAAATAAAAAAATATATAGACTTTGATAAACAGTTTAATGGTGGGTTCATACCTCGAGGATTAGCCCTAACCTTATCCTTAACATTAACCCTAAGAAGTTAACCTTAAGATCTTAAGGAGATGCCGTTCATGCGTCCATACGTCCCATAGTACCCCTAGTCTACTTCTAGTAAGCGCTTGCGTACATATGAAACCTATGTTTTGAACTAACCTAACTTCACAAATATTTTTAGAATTTCAAATACTAGTGAAACTACTTTTACATTAATAATTTTTAGACAAAAAAATAAATAATTTTTTAACATTTATAAACCCTTCAAATCCAGTCGAATCATATGTCGAATATTTGGAAAATTCTTAAAACCCCTAGTATTGAGCATGTGCAAATCAGTTTTGAGTTAGCAATAACTTTTAGAACATAAAATATCCCATATTTCTTAGAACTTTATTATGACTAAGGCTATTGTTAAGATCGATACGTTGGAAACACGAACGCTATCGTTCGTTAATATTTATTCAAATTCTTGGGATTGGGACTAACGTTAGTGTTTCAGTTAGGGTTAAGGTCGGATGTATAAAGTATAAACTCACCATGAATGTAAATAAATACCGTATTATCGAATAAAAGATTTCCAGTTGGCTTGGAAATGACGATCGATGATATTTCCCATATCAATGACAACTAACAACTGTTGCAAATAAATATTGTAAAATAACAGATGTAGAATGTAGAATGAGTAAGAGGGGGGGGGGGTAATCACAGCGACCTTAAAGATCTATTATGCCCCCCTTCCTTGACTCATCACAGAGTCTATAACCCATCATACCCCTGTTGTAGAGGGGGCACGGTATTTCCCATCCTCCTCTGACAACAGTTTTTCCTCCGAGGGTACACACCCTTCCACGGTTGGAGTTGTGGGTTTGAGTTTGGCCCTCCGTGCCGCCCTTCACAGTCGCTTGCCTCCGGCTGAGGAACCCGTTAGGTGGAGGCTGGAGGATCTGTCTCCATTTTCTCCACCTCTTTAACTTGATCTCTCCTTAGACCTGATACCGGTGTTGTCCCGTATCTATAATAGAGGATATGTCCCTCTATGATTTCTCTATTGTCTCCTTGGATTTGAGGTCAATTCCTATTGTGAGGACCTGACCATGATCCTCCTGCCTCGAGTTGATGACTCGCCAACTCGATGTCCTTATATTGAAGTTCTGACCCTGGATAAGGCTCAGTAGGTAGGTGGTGTCTTTCCCTTTGCTTCTCGGCAGAAAGACCCTGATGGCCGACCCTTTAGGGATGTTTTCTCCCTTCACTGCAACCAGTTCCGGCGATTTCCACCAACCAATTCGCCGATTCTTGAGATACACAATCTATGAGGATCATGCCCGCCCGAAAATGTATCCCCGCAAAACGCAGCTGACCCACATTTTGTAGATCGTTGTGTTGCGATCCAATCCCCACTACTTCGTCCGGTATAGCCTCTTCCAGAGACGTTCGTTGGTCGGTGGTCTGAGCAACCTCTGGGAAATCCTTTGGCAGCACCGCCATTTTCACTTGACCAGCAATAGCCGCAAAGCTGGTGATACGTCCCTGCTTGCCTCCCGGTGTTGGACGGCTTTCCATCCTGGCTTTTTTCTCTCCCTGTCGGAGAAGAGGTGAGAGGTTTTCGCTCCCTCTCTTGCCCTTTGATGGAGATGAGTCAGGTTGTTTCTTGGTTTCTTTACTCTCCCCTTTTCGGAGGAGTATTTTCGCTTTTGCTTCCTCTGGAGCAAGTCCTTCGTGCAGCAGTCGAAGGTATCTCCGTGCTTCTGCTCCGCTAAGACCTACTCTCAGAGGATCGTCTAGCCCGCCTGGTTGACCCAGGCCGGGTAGACGAAAAAAAAAAATAACAGATAGTTAAATAACAAAATAAATTAAGAGTCCCAAACCAATCCAACTGACATTCGAGAATTACCTTGCCTACGGCTACGGGACGATAAATTTTATAGTTTAGTTGTGTACCGGGTGTGGTTCAAAAATGGCTCACCCCTATAACTTATTTATTTTTTTAGATAAAAAAACGAGAATTGGTATGTTAGTATATGACATAAATTAGGATTGATTGCCGTATTCATTTGTTTTTGGTCTCTTCCTGTTTCACCGAAAATGACTACAACTTTTGATTTTTAAATAACACTCTCGGTATTTTTTTACATTATTCGTTAGAAAATAACACTCTGAAAGAATGACATATCATATGTCAATTTTCGAAATTTTCGTAAATAGTTTATTTCAAATTGTAAGATGCGGTTCATAACTGTGCCTGGTACCAAATTATTCGTAAAAACATGCTTTTTCCAGATATGCTAATGGGCCACCCTTGTTCCATTTTAAAAAATTAAAATACGATTTGGGCATCTTTTAACCGGTCAGGACAAGACACGAGAAACATTAGACGATAAAATTTATTTTTCCAGGCTCCTTGATTAACCATTAATATTTTTGACACAGCCGTAGCACTCTAGATTGAAATTTAAAACACTATTTTTTAAGAGAAATTGTCAAATGTTGACATATGATATGTCATTCTATTCAGAGTGTAGTTTTCTATCGAATAAAGTAAAAATATACCGAGGGTGCCATTTAAAAATCAAAAGTTATAGTCATCTTCGGTTAAACAGGAAGTGACCAAAAACAACTGAATACGTCAATTAACCCTAATTTATGTCATATACTAACATACCAAATCTGTTTTTTTTATCAAAAGTTTTTTTTATCTGAAAAAATAAAAAGGTTATAGGGGCGAGCCACTTTTGAGACGCACCCGGTATAGATATTCTCATTGTACGTATAGTAATATAGAGTCAATTCGACAAATAAATAAATAATTCTTGCTACTTGTCAAGAACTAGGCCCAGTATTACACCTCAAATTTCTTTGTCAAAGATCTTTTATAAAATATATTTGATGAAAAATTTGACTGTTAATATACAATATTTTATAAATTTATTTTATTAATTATTTTTATTTTTTACTCTTTTGAATAAAATCTTTGACAAAGAAATTTGATAGTGTAATAGTAGCCTTATAGTTAAAAATCAATATCAACGAATGTCGAAATAAGCTAAAAATCTGTATGTATTTTTGACGATAAACAATTTCTATGTGTCAATATCTGAAATAACTCTGTTAAAAAACTTATAGCAAGTATTGTGTTTTAGTAGTATCTGATTTATACCGGGTGCGTCTCAAAAGTGGCGTGCCCCTATAACTTTTTTATTTTTTCGGATAAAAACTCGAGATTTGGTATATTAATATATGACATAAATTAGGATTGATTGACGTATTCAATTGTTTTCTGTCACTTCCTGTTTCACCGGAAATGACTACAACTTTTAATTTTTAAATGGTACCCTCGGTGTTTTGTTGCTTTATTCGATAGAAAATGACACTCTTAATAAAATGACATATCATATGTCAACTTTTGACATTTTTGAATAGGGTTTATTTGAAATTGCAACATACGATTCATAACGACAATTTGACTCGAAACACCAAGTGTGTAGTACCAAATTATTCGTAAAAAATGCTTTTTCGAAATATGCTAATGAGCCATCTCCGTTCCATTTGAAAAAATTGAGATATGATTAAAATTACGATTTGGGCATCTTTTAACCGGCCAGGATAAGACATGAATAACATTAGACGATCAAATCTATTTTTCCAAGGCTCCTTGGAAATTGGCTCCTAATTAAAAACTAGTGTTTTTAACTCTAGATTGAAATTTAAAATTCAATTTTGTTTTTTATTGTAGTCATTTCCGATGAAACAGGAAGTGGCCGAAAATAATTGAATACGTCAATCAATCCTAATTTATGTCATATACTAACATATCAAATCTGGTTTTTTTATCTGATAAAATAAAAAAGTTATAGGGGTGAGCCACTTTTGAGACGCACCCGGTATAGAAACGTAAATTTAATTATATCCCTCTCCTCCCCCTCTCAGCATCTTTCAGTCGACAATGAACAATTTGCATGTAGTCTCAAATTAGTTGAAATACCGTATGGTCGAGAAAAAAAAACGGCGTCAGCGATGGCTATGAAATGAAGATCGCTGTCATTTTCTATGTAAACTTAATGGGAAATGTCATCGATTGTTATTTCCCAGCCTACTGGACGTCGTTTTTTTTCGATCATACAAGGTCGCCCATCGAAAACGTTCCGCAAAGCATAACGGCCAGAGTAATTTTTTTTTTTCAGAAAATTCAAAAACACGTCAATTTTGTTTGTGAGGGGGACAACTTTTGCCCCAAAAATGATTGCAAAATATTCAACCCTCTAAGCGGGGGTGTCATCCCCCAACTTTTTTCAAATGGGAAGGGGGGTCAAGTGGCACCGCAACGAAAAGATCTTTCTATTCTCTATATTTCCCCGCTTCGTTCTTGAAAATCGGTCGAGTCATTGAGAAAATATGAAGGATTAAAATTTGAAAAGTATTCAAACATTTATCAGAGTAAATGATAAGGATAAATTCCTTCGACCAATTTGCTGTTCTTTCTTATTATTTCTAGATGTTTACGCATTTTTTCACTTGCCACAAGGTTGAACGATCAGGTGCGGTAGTTGCTAGATAGCTGTTCTGTGACTTGTGCGTTGAAGTTCTTCTCAATATCGTTAAACTTTTTAACAATCATGGTGTACTCACTTGCAGAAAAAGTGGAAATAATCGAACTTTATTTTAAAAATAATGAATGTATCGGGTTGTGCACATATTCATTGAACGCTATCCTGACAAACACCTTTCTGGCAAAATTGTTCGCGAGTTAGTAGCAAAATTTCACGAAACTGGTTCCGTTATGAACAAAAAGAGGCAGAGGGAAAATCCTGTAGTAAATGAAGCTATGGAGGTATTCGTATTGGGCCAAGTTGCCATGAATAGTACGCTGAGTACAAGAAAATTAGCCAATGAGACCGGCGTGAATCGTACAAGTGTCCAAAGGATATTAAAAAAAACAGAAGTTCTACCCGTACAAAATTCAGTTGGTTCAAGAACTCAACGAGGACGATTTTGATCGTCGCTTGCAATTTTGTAAAACTATGAGTGAACGAGTGGCGAATGATAATAATTTCTTATTTAACGTGTGTTTTTCGGATGAGTGTACTTTATTTTTGAACGGCGTACTTAATCGGCACAACTGTCGGTACTGGGCTGAGGACAACCCCAGGGTTTTTTACGAGGTGCACACACAAAACCCTTAGAAATTGAACGTGTGGGCTGGTATTTTTGGAAATTCTATTGTGGGTCAATTTAACGATATTGAGAAGAACTTCAACGCACAAGTCACAAAACAGCTATCTATCAACTACCGCACCTGATCGTTCAACCTTGTGGCAAGTGAAAAAATGCGTAAACATCTAGAAATAATAAGAAAAAACAGCAAATTGGTCGAAGGAATTTATCCTTATCATTTACTCTGATAAATGTTTAAATAAACTTTTCAAATTTCAATCCTTCATATTTTCTCAATAACTCGACCGATTTTCAAAAACGAAGCGGGGAAATATAGAGAATAGAAAGCTCTTTTCATTGTAGTGTCACTTGACCCCCCTTCCCATTTGAAAAAAGTTAGGGGATGACACCCCCGCTTAGAGGGTTGAAGATTTTGCATTCATTTTTGGGGCAGAAGTTGTCCCCCTCACAAACAAAATTGACGTGTTTTTGGATTTTTTGAAAAAAAAAATACCCTGGCAGTTATGCCTTGCGGAACGTTTTCGATGGGCCACCCTGTATGTATCATCTACGCATTTTTATGCAATATTTGAAAGGCATCGGCAAAATATTTTTTCAATTTTTTAATTAGTTATTATTACTATTTCATATTCTAACTTCAAAAAATGTGCAAATTCTCTAATAAATAAATTTAAAAACATAATAAACAGTCAACAATTAAAAACTACCCAAATTGATTTTCTTACCGTTTTTTTCTTTAAATAAATTTAATGTAGGTAGAATTTGTCTATAATAGGGTACCAACGCCTCGCCTATCATATCTCCAGATTTTACTAAATGCTGAAGTACCTTTAGCGTAGTACACATTACTTCTTTATTTTTCGTCTTGAGGGCATCTTTGATTGGTATAATCAATTGGGGAATACAAGGAAATATTTTTTGCCCTCCGTAAGCTAACATATCATGTATTCCTTGTTGGGCGAACAATTTGTAAGGACTTTCGGTTTCACAAAGTCCTTCAAAAAACATTGGCAAATAGTAATGGAAATCCAATTTATTGATGTCTGCCTAAAAGTATACTGTATACAGAAATATACATACTGTATTATAATTAAATAAAGTATGTTTAGGCAGTTAAAGCAAGGCAGTTTTTAAGCGAGTGTCACAAAAAATGAAGTTTTACGGATCTATTAACGTCCCTAAAGTGTATCTTTTTTGGCCGCTTTTTTACTTTACGGCCGCTTTTGCAAAGAAAGTCATTATGAGGGCAGCCTACTAGACACATTTAATTTACTTATTTGAGTTATTTCCACGTCCGATATTAAGATTGTCAAATTATAAAGGCGGCCTACTGTCTACTAGACACATTTAATTTCCATGTTTGGATTATTTACCCATAAAACAAAAGAAAAGATCTCCCTCATGCGAGAGGGTCTACCCACTAAAAACCCATCTGTACTCTTAGTTCAGTCATTGGGGATTTTTGCTTGGAAAAAAGTGCGGAAGTTTTGCAACTTTGCAGGTTTATAGGTTTTGGGGTCCCTAACTAAAATCCATAAAATGCACATTTCCAGATTTGCCGCCGGCGCACGGTGGAAAGACCCAATATAAAATGTTGGACATTGACTTAAAAATAAAATTTTAAATTAAATAATTTTGGTAGAAGATTTTAATTACTTAAAGTCCAGACCGTTATATTTTATCCAACTCAAAAAAATATTGTTAATTATATGTCTGTTTGAAAAGTTTCATATGAAGATATTACACTGACTTAATAATTATGGTGTTCATTTCTTGTGAAACAACCTAGTTTTATAAAAAGTGGCAAAGACATTAATACTTTTTTTTAACCATACATATTAGTGCAAACGATTGTTTTCACTTTAAAATAAAAGATATATATAGTCACAAAAGTTTGGGAGAACAATAATTGTATATAAGAGACACAAACATTTTTTTGCTACTAAATACTATATTTAGTAGCAAAAAAATGTGTATGTAGAAAAATAAAAAAATGGCCAAAGTTGGCCAAGACTTTATATATGTCACAAGCTAGATTAAGCCTTTCTAATAACGAAACTAATTTAACATCTTGCCCCAGCTTGCCCCCTCTAAACATTTTCATTTTATATATTACTAATACATGCTATACTAAAATCAAAAAGTTTTCAATTCCAATAAATTAATTAAAATTTTTTAGAGTCAAATTATCTTTATTTTTTTTATAAATTTATTAATATTTAATTATTAATTGGATAAATACAAAATGACGCTTAAATCAAAAACAGATACAGGGTGCTACAAATATATGGAAAACTTATGGAAAAAGAAAGCGGGTTAAAGTGCAGTGTTGAACTTTTTTATTTGTAATAAAAATATTCTAGTGCGTTGATTTACTGTTATATTCTTTGCTTATAATAAATTGTACAGGGTGTCCGACTAAGAATAGCTTTCGGCTATATCTCGGAAAGTATTAGCCGTGAGGCCGGCGGAAAAAAATATTCATAACTAAAGAGGCCATGAGAAATTGCTGGAAATTATTTTCAAGTTTGTAGAATGGCCACTAGAGGGCACAACTGCTATAAAAAATAAGAAAATGGAGTTTTTACACAATTTTGCCTAGATAAAGGGTAGTATAAATAATAGCTTCATAATCTTCAGTAAATTCTGAATATTTTCTGTTAGCCATGTCACTCTATGCCAAAATAAAGTGGTGGGGGAAAGTTAGATCTACTTTTATTTAAATATTAATAACTCCGGACTGGATGGACGGAATCCAACTAGCGGGGGCTCACTTAAAAGAGCGTTTCTTACTCTATATTATACCATATAAAAAATAATACTAAGCTTTTGAACGTAGACGCTACGGGGCGCTGTCTTACAATTAACAAACATTGCGCGTTTTTTCAAAAAAATGCGATAATATATGTAATTTTAGCTGATAGTAAAGAGTAATAAAAGCTTAAAAAGTCAGTGAAAACCGCATCTTGATATCTTTTTTCAAACCGAACATATTAGCAAAATTATATTAAATAGGAAAATATAAGCCCTTAATTACCATATTTTTATAACATGGTATCAGTAGTCCTAGATCTCAGTGGTAAAATCTAACGCTATTTCTTTTTAAAAAGATTAAAACTAAAACATTCCACAACAGTTTGGCAAAGTTTATAAGCATTTAAAAATTCTAAGATTTTTCCAAAACATACTATATTTTTAGGTCACCCTGTGGATGGTTTGTAATGAGCCAACCACTTTCTTTCATTAAAATTTAAAATTGTTCTGTTTATACATTATTACGGTATATAAAAATCATTTTTTCGTCTTTTGGATTAAAAGTGCTGAGAAGAAAACCTCATGTCCAACCGCTCCCATAAGCTCGTTCCACTGTGCGGCGCCGCCATCTTGCCAAGATGGCGCCCAAAATCGGTATTTTGTAAATATCTCGAAAACTATCCGTTTTTCGCAAAAATTTGAGGAGAGTAAAATTAAAAAGAATAAAATTTCCTATAAAAAAGGTTCTATGAAAATTTACGCTAAAGTCAACCGTTTAGGCACCAAATCCCTGGAAATTTTACAATTTTGCGTAAAATATGATATATTACGTATAGTCGATTTTATGAAATCAAATGTCAATAAGGGTTCACTAAAACTAGTTTTATTTTAGTTTCTTCAATTTTGTCATGAAACAGTGGCGTATCATTAATTCGCTCATTAATTTATGAATAATTAATTTTCATTATTAAAAATGTGCACTTGTTTCCACACCACCCAAGAGGTAAAGTACATGGCACGTTTATTTTAACGTGATGTCCCCGGAGGCCTATTCCACTAGGTAAATTAAAAACTTTAACTTATCTGCACAAGCTCGACGGACCTGGTTCATTGATGTAAAGTCGATCGTGTCTGCTGTGCTGGGCTCATCAGGGTGGTCTCTCAATTCGTCCAACTCTTCAACTTCAGCCGCCAGAGGGATATCTACAGGCAAGTCCAACTCCTCTTCATCGGATTCGTCGAGTGATACTTCAGTGCGACGTTGTCACAGGATTTCCCATTGCAGTAGGCACAAATCATTCAACATTTTAATCCTGCTTTTCTGTATCCGCAGGTTTTACCACAGTTGTTGGTTTTGCATTTACAGGATAAAAATGCAAATAGGGATTTTGGAGCTGGATTTGTCAACGTTGTGACTGGAGTAATGCCTGTTTTTGTTTTCTTCCAACCCCATTTTTCGGCATTTTTGGTACAAACAGACCAATGCTGAACCTGGTGGTAAGTTCGCCATGAATGCTTGGTAAATAATAAATTAATTATTATTATATTAAACGAATTAATGGTACGCCACTGTTTTATGACAAAATTGAAGAAACTAAACTAAAACTAGTTTTAGTAAACCCTAATCGACATTTGATTTCGGAAAATCGACTATACATACATACATATATCATACTTTACCCAAAATTGTAAAATTTCCAGGGATTTTGTGCCTATAGGGCTGACATTCGCAAAAATTTTCATAGAATCTTTTTTATAGGAAATTTTATTCTCTTTAATTTTGCGCTCCTAAAATTTTTGCGAAAAACGCATAGTTTTCGAGATATTTACAAAATACCGATTTTGGGCGCCATCTTGGCAAGATGGCGGCGCCGGCGGCAGGTCTGGAAATGTGCATTTTATGGATTTTAGTTAGGGACCCCAAAACCTATAAACCGGCAAAGTTGCAAAACTTCCGGACTTTTTTCCAAGCAGGCCCCTTTTTTGATCCCCAATGACTGAACTATCTAAGCTCGCCAATCTCGGTACCGCCGAAGGTATTTCATCAAGATTAGAGACCAATGACTAAAGAATATAAGGACATGTAACGCCCCTATACGGGCTGCAGCAGAAATTGTTAACTTTTTTTTTTGGTGGCAAACAATGAGTCATCATTTGGTCACCAGCGACAATTTTAGCGATTTTTAACAGTTTGTGTGTTTCAAGTGTAAAAGCAGCAGCAATAAGAAAGAGCCAGGAGTTACGTTTCATAGGTAAAAAACAGTCAACTCCAACTTTTTAGCGTTTTCTTATTGAATTCGATAATTATTCTTCAATTTCAATTAACATCTATATGTACTTGATATGTGCTATACGTCGATACTAGTTTTGTACCTTTTGTTAACATTTTAATACGTTTTTTTCGTAATTAATTAGGATGATACACCATAGGCGTAGTCAAAACAATTATCAAAAAATATAAATATTGCTTCAAACAGCTAGGTTAAGAAAAATATGTGCCACGGCACTGTTTGGTGACGTCACAATTTGCTCTCGGGTGTTATTTGTCCTTGGATTCTTTAGTCATTGTTAGAGACTTATCATTCTTCTATGTTGGTCTTGTCTGTACCCAGATCTTGTCTTTTTCGTCCTTTGCCTTTTTCTTCATAATGTTCCTTAACATGCCGCAAATCGCTTCGATATTTTCATTCGATGATGTTAGAAGGTTTCCGACGTTTACTCTAGTAATCTTCGTACCACATACTAGCTTTGTTCGGGTTCTTGTTAGCTTAATTCGGGTTTCTCTTATTACCGATTCTGAACCGCGATCACGATTTCCACGCGGCCGCGGCCAGAAGTTGCTGAAGAAATGTGATGCGTATGCGCAGAAGGAAATATGAAGACATTATTTCATTTGCGCATGCGCTGCAGAGTTCTAGGACGGTTCAGAATCGGTAATAACAAGAACCCGAACAAAGCTGTTATTACCGATTCTGAACCGTCCTAGAACTGTGATGCGTATGCGCAGAAGGAAATATGAAGACATTATTTCATTTGCGCATGCGTTGCAGAGTTCTAGGACGGTTCACAATCGGTAATAACAAGAACCCGAAAAAAACTACTGTTTCTGCATTCTCGCGTATATCTTCGTGCGCGTGACACTCAAATAGTGTATGGTTAGCCGAGTCTGACGCCTTGTAATACCAGCATGAGTCAGCCTTGCGGATTCTGTGCAGATACTCGCTAAATACTCCATGGCCAGTCATGGCTTGCGTCATGTAGTAGTCCGTCGGTTGCTAGGCTATTTATTTACA